CCATGGGTTTTTGTCATTAATGTAATTGTCAATTGTATAGTATGCTTTTCTAATCAAAGTGTTTTTTACATACTTTTTAAATTTATGTAAAGGCAAGTCAAGCATTGAATCAGGTATTTTGTTGAAAAATCAAAAGCCTTGTGCCATACATGAATTGTAAGTTTTCTTTAGTGTAAAAAACGGTATAACAAGTTTATTTTTATTTCTAGTATTAAGGTCATGTATGTCACTACATTTATTATGTGTATGTAAATTTTTCCTAAGAAATAGTATATTAGACTATATGTATTGAGAAGCAACAGTTAATATGCCGAACTCTTTAAATCGTTCCTTTAGAGACACTTGTTTACCCAAATTATAAATGAAACGAACCGCTCTCTTTTGCAAAACAAATATCATATTGATATCCGATGCCATACCCCATAATAAGATACGAAAGGACATAACACTATGGAAACAACTGAAATACACTAAGCGAGCCGTTTCCACATCAGTTAACTGTCTAATTCTACGTACTGTAAATGCAACAGAACTTAGTTTTTTTTTGCAAGAGTAGATAGATATATGAGCGCTCCACTGAAGCTTAGAATCCAATGTAATTTCCAAAAAATACTGTTGAGTTAACCATGTTCAACGGTTTCTCACCAATATTTATATTCATAGTTACATTTTTTACGTTAAACAGTGTAAATTCAATGAATTTAGTTTTTTTCGCATTCAATAGAAGATTATTAACCGTAAACCACCGCTGTATTTGCGAAAGAGCAACATTTACATCGTGAAAGTTAGTTTTGTTTCTATCTTCATAGAATATAAGAGAAGTGTCATCTGCAAATAACACTATTTTGCAAAATTTGGTTACGAAAAACGGTAAATCGTTGATATACATATGTCAAAAATAGAAAAGGACCAAAAATAAAACTTTGAGGTACACCTATTTGAACAAATGACCCGACTGATTTTACTCCAACCTCAACCCTCTTTCTGCGGCCCCTTAAATATGATGTAATAAATTCAAGAGATGTATCTTTTATTCCGTAGTAAGACAGCTTACACAGGATTTCGTGATCAACACAGTCAAACGCTTTGGAGAGATCACAGAAAAGGCCAAAAGCATTTTTAATATTTTCCCAAGCTTCATAAATGTGTCTCAACAATGCAACCCCGGCATCAGTCGTAGATTGTTTCTTTATGACCCCGTATTGTTGAACATGGAATAAGTCATTTAATTCAAAATGTTTTTCAAGCTGTTTCAGAATAATTTTTTCATTAATTTTGCTTAGTACTGGTAATACAGAAACAGGTCTGTAATTGCTTGGATCATTTTTTTCACCAGTTTTGTACAAGGGTATGACTTTACTGTATTTCATAAGATCAGGGAAAATACCTTTGTCAACACATTTATTAAATATGAATGCCAAGTAAGGGGCAATACTGTCTATAATACTATGTATGATCTTTACCGACATTCCCCACACATCCATGGTATTCTTTACTTTAAGAGTTTTAAATGTTCTAACAATACTTAATGCATTTGTGTGTTCAAATTTTAATGGGATGTTACACTCAGGTTTATTATTTTTTAAGAAAACTTTGGAATCATTTAATGAAGATTTTAAGGGTGCAGAAATAACTAAAGGAATGTTAGTAAAATAAGATTCAAAAGTATTTGCTACATCTATACCATTACAAATGAGTTGGTTGTTAATTTTTAAATTAATTTCAGATTCTCTTAATTTTTTATTTCCAATTTCTTTATTAATAATTTCCAAGTAGTTTTAGTGTTGTTCCCCGAAGATTTAATTGCTTGTCGTAAATGTAATACATTCGCTTTATTACAAACTATTCTGAATATTTTAGAATAGGATTTTACATATTGTGTAAATTCTTTATTATGATTATATTGTTTAATACTATATAGGTCATATAAATTTTTTCTACTCCTATGTATACCCACAGTGGCCCAATCACTAAACTTCATCTGATTGTAACTACCTATAATTTTTGTTTTAAAAATTTTGTTAAACTCAATATCTAAAATTTGAAAGAGTCCATTATATAATAAGTCTGGATGATTTTGATTTAAGTCAAGAAGAGGCACTAGTAATTTAATATTGTTATTGAATTGTCTCAAACGTCATGATGTTACTCGAAGACAAACTCGTGCAACGTCTTGAGTTTTTTTTTAATTCTATTATCTTTAAATGCAACTATTTGTCCACAATGATCAGATGTTAATTTGCTTATGATAGACTTTTCCACATAGAATGTTGCCACAGATTTAAATCAATTTCTACAGTTTTTAAGTAATGCCACGAAAATCTCAAGAAGTCAATAAACTCATACGGTGCGTTGATGGCATGACGTTGCAATCCCGATAATCGCTAATGGTGCGTTGGTAGCAAAGAATGGGTTAATCAAAATAAATAGCATCCGGAACTCGGTGGTAAACTACTACGCGGGTAAATCTGCACTAAAAAGAAAAATGAACATAATCTATTCATATAATATGTATAATTACTTGTCCTAACTGACTGCACATGAACGCAGAACAGGTTCCTTTTCTGACGTAGACATACACTAAAAATATTTTTTTAAAGATCTATCCATATAGTGGATAGAACAGAAGTTTGCATGAAAGTCCGTTCCTTATTAACACGTTCCCAGCGGCACAGATTGATCTGTACTTTCCATTACTGCGTTACGAGGCGTTTAAAACCTTGTCTTAAACCAGACATTGTGGCGGCACGAGGCTTATTAAACCCCACCGCCCTTAGGAAACCAAAATCCTTTTTTTGGTGCCAAATATGACAAATTGTACAGCTTTTGTCGCGATTATTATTAACAATGAGTTCATTAACCTATATCTGCCGCCGCCTATGGTTAGATTATTTAGTTTAGATTCTATAGGTAAAATAAAATGTGGGGTCTGATGTACCTTGTACCGCACTGAAAAATAGCAGATTTTCATATTATTTAGTGATGGGAAAATAAATATCGATTTTATTTAATTTTTTTTTTTTTTTTTTTTATAGGATAAGGGTGACAAACGAGCACACAGTCCACCTGATGGTAAGTGGTTGCTGTGGCCCATAGACATCTACATCTATCCTCTATCACAAATCAATATGTAGATGCGTTGTCACCCGTGAGGACTAAGATGGAATGCCTCATTTCCAGTAAAAAGGGCCTCCGGCCACCTGCACTCACCAAGCGAAACGCAGAGGTAAACCCCTACTTCACGCTGGTTTTCTGTGAGGTCGTGGTACCACCCCGGTTCGAGCCGGCCCGTCCGTGCGACAGCAAAAGCTGTCGCGTGGCTCTACCACTGTAACACAAAATTGTATTTATTTATCAAAGTTATGGATGTTTTTCATTAAAACACGTCAAGCAATAATATTTTTTGCAACTAGTGCATTCTGTGAGAATTTTCTTCACTTTTTTGTCAGCCTCACGACTTGTCAAGAAGGCGCGGAGTTTATCGTAACATCCTACACATCTCCTCTTCTTTGATCCCTTTTCGAGATGATGTGCATTGTTTGCAGTGGCTTCTGAAAATAAAAAAATGTGTATTTGTGAAGCGGATTAGGGCCAACCCACACGGACCACAACCACGCGACAACCACAACCACACCACAACCACACCACGTGGTCGGGCGCATATTTTGTATTGAAAATGAATAGTTTAATTCACACGTACCACGTGGTGTGGTTGTGGTGTGGTTGTGGTGTGGTTGTGGTTGTCGCGTGGTTGTGGTCCGTGTGGGTTGGCCCTTAATTAGTTTAAAAGCGTAATAAGGGACTTAATATGTGTAAATGCATGATAATACGTTACAAAACTTTAAATATAATAATCAGTTCCAACTCGACTCTACTCTGCGCAACATTGTTATTTTTTTTTTATTTTATTCCTTCTCCTGACAAAAGCAAACACATCAAAAAAAGAATTAGCGAAATCGGCACGACAGAACGCGTGAACGGCTGAACAGATTTCGCTAATATTTTTTTTGTTATATTTGCTATTGTCAAGAGAAGGTTCTTATAAAAGAAAAACATTAAGAAAATTGTGCAGTAGGGTCAAGCTGGGTAGATTAAGGTAAGAGTAAGGTAGATTCGGGTAGAGTCGGATAGAAGTTGGGTAAAGTTGGTTAGAGTAGAGAAGAGTTGGGTAAAGTTGGGCAAAAGAGTTAAATTTTGATGAACAAGACGTCTGCCGGGTCCGCTAGTTAATTCAATAAACAAACACATTAATAGTTATTATGATCATCAGCCTATTTGAAGAAAGTTACTCAACATGTCACATTCACGTTTCCATTAACATATAACGAGTAGTTAGGATATTTGAAAATTACCTGTATCCACGTCCAAGTCTTTCTTTGTAAAAGCTTCAATAACTTGTTCCACAAATAGTCTCTTTGGCATTTTATTTCTATCATCATTAATTGAATTATACACAATCCAGGCGTTAATAAGGGCTGTACCAAATATTAGCTCCATTATTACTTTCCTCCACCATTTAATTCCTTTCTTTAATGTTGTATAATACGAAGACATTTGATCACTGTAGTCAATTCCCTTTTTTGTTTCATTGTACATTATAACACATCCGGGTTTTTAAATACTTTCGTTAGTGCCTCTCTTCTTTTTCCCAGTATCTATTAGTTTATCGTCATGATCTTTGCACGTAGTCAACATTAAAACTTTTCTTTTATCTACCCAGTTCAATATTTTCACGCCCTTTTTGTTCATTTTTCCAATAATCTGGCCCTTTTTTATTTTCGCATTAATAACTTTCTTTGGCAAATATTTTCTTCTTATGTTTAAAGTTCCACATAGAAAAGTTTTTTGTGATAGGAGTTTTTCTGCCAGACTCAACGAAGTATAGAAATTATCTACTATTACGATTCTTCCCTCTTCTGTCAAATTGTTCATCAATTTTAATACTACTTTCTGACTGTGATCGACTTCTCGCTTCTGATCTTTTTTACCTGTATAAATCTCTATTTGGTAGGTATAACCTTCGGGGGTGCAAAGTTTGTACAGCTTAACGCCATATCGGTGAGATTTGTTTTTATATACTGACGGAAACCTAATCGCCCTCTCCAGGGTATCATTGTCTCATCAATTACTACATATTTTCCGGGGTTTAATATATTCTGAAATTTGTCAGTGATCATCGAAAGCATATCTCTGATTTTATGTAGTTTGTCAGTTTTATCATCATTTGAGACATCACTGACATGCCAGCATTTTAATAGGAGTAAAAATCTGTCTCTTGTCATTGCTGAACGTATAAATTCGTTTCTGTATAATTTGTTCTTGCTCCAATACAAATTTATATGAGGTACTTTACATAAACCCATTGCCATCACAACTGCCAGAAATGTTTTCATTTCCTGAAAACTAGTATTAGTCCACTCTTTCATACGTGATTTACGTTTCATATTTTGTTGGTTTGTTCGTAAATAGTTTTGTGCATAATTGTTTGTCTCCAATGCCATTTTATTGATCATCTCATCTGTTACAAATAACTTATATACATCTTCAGGTGATTTTACAAACGGCGGTATATTGTAAGTATTTTCCCCAACAAATTCATCAAAATTTAAGGGACTCTCCAATATGTCTTCCCACGCATCGTCATCGTTCTTGTTAGTTTGGCGGTCGGGCAATGCCTCTTCTGCGTCTAAAGTTTCGTTTTCTGTATCTTCATTTTCATCTTCTAATTCCTGTTCTTCGTCTATGCAAACCTCTAATGAATAATTATCAGATCCTTCCGAATCGCTTGAATTGTCATTAGAAGGACTATAATCCTTATCATCCCCGTTGTCACTAACATCTTCGATATTATCTCTTATAATAATATTAAATAATATAAATAATAATTAATTATCTATTATAACATCAGGGGATTTTGAAATATCCTGTAAATTATCACGAGTTCTGTCTTCAGTTATCTCGTCATCGCTATTCAAATTTTCAATACTATCATAGTCTATTGAACCAGGCAATGTAAGTATAGTTGACAATTTATTACACCTGTTTTGTTGTTTTCGATCAACATCCTTCGAAACATTTTCAGCAATCACAGAAACCTCTATTTCTCGTTTTTCTGCACATGTGGACAAATTAGAGTCGTCTATAACTGCAAATTCAGACATATATTTTTTACTTGATCTCTTTTGTTCCGGTGTTTTAAGTAGTTCCTTTAAATTTTCCTCATTAAGAGATAAATCGCAGTCTAGTAAATTGGAGCGTGAAATTTCTGATAAAGAACTAGCTCTGCTCTCAGAAACTATATGACGGAAGCCTAATGAAGGTGAACATAGAGATGACGAATTTTTGTTTTGTTTTTTAATCTGATGTCTTGGGGTGGTTGGGGCACTAGAAGAGGGAAAGGTAACATTTTGTAAAACTTGACAGGTTTTTCCGGTACTTGGACTCAAATAAATTGTTTCTTTTTGTTCTATGGCTTCAACACGGTTCCTTACATCGTTATTTTTGGAATATCTAAGTCCCGTTTTTGCTTTGTTATGTAATTTTCCTGTATTTGTAATAATGATTGAGGTTGCATGTTTATTCATAATATGTTTTGGTTTTCGAATATCAGTCGGTTGAATTTCTTTACTTAAATTTACATCTTGTGCTCTATATTCAATTGAATTTTTATTTTTTTCTATTTCAACAGTGTCAGATATCTTAAAACGTTTTATTGAAAAAATCTCTTCATCAATAGAATCTTCATTTTGCGGGGTATTACAACTTGGTGGGCTCTGAAAAACAATAGATACCTCTACCTTTAATAGTATTTTACAAATACAGGCCGCAGCTCGGGTGTGAATGGCTGTTTATTGAGTGTACCGATCAAAACGTGGCGTAAATGGAGTAATCATGTTCAGGATTTCAACGAATTATTTACCAAGCCAAAATAAATTTGCGGTCTGGCATTCAAAATACTTTTAATTAAAATTATCAATGAATAATATTTGAAAGCTCAAAATGGTAAGGGTAACTTTTTTATACGTTATTTATTCGTTTTGATTATAAAGTACCATCATTACAGCCCTTCACAAGTCCACTGCTGAACATAGGCCTCCCCCAAAGAATGCCACAAAGCACGGTCCTGAGCCACCTGCATCCATCGACTTCCTGCATGTCTTACCAGGTCGTCACTCCATCTCGTGGGGGGACGCCCTACACTTCGCCTACCGGTACGAGGCTGCCACTCGAGAACCTTTCTTCCCCATCGGTTGTCGGTTCTTCGAGCTATATGGCCGGCCCACTGCCACTTCAGCTTACTAATCTGTTGGGCTATGTCGGTTACTCTGGTTCTACTGCGGATATCCTCATTCCCAAGTTTATCACGCAGAGAAACTCCGAGCATAGCCCTCTCCATAGCTCGCTGAGCGACCTTGAGCTTCCTCATACGGCCAGCAGTGAAGGACCACGTCTCAGTTCCATAAGTCATCACTGGCAACACGCACTGGTTGTACAATTTCGTTTTCAGATTTTGAGGTATGTCTGACGAGAAGATGTGTCGTAGCTTCCCGAACGCTGCCCAGCCGAGTTGAATCCGTCGATTGACCTCTCGGTCGAAGTTGGACTTACCTAGTCGGACTATTTGTCCCAGGTAAACATACTCGTCAACAACTTCGAGCTTAGTGCTCCCAACAACTACCGGCATAGGTGTGACATGGACATTGAACATGATCTTTGTTTTGTCCATGTTCATCTTAAGACCTATCCGTTGGGAAACACTATCGAGGTCATTGAGCATAGTGCTTAGGTCCTCCAGCGATTCTGCCATAAGGACTATATCGTCGGCAAATCGAAGGTGAGTGATGTACTCGCCATTGATGTTGATACCGTATCCTTTCCAGTCCAGAAGCTTGAAAACGTCTTCCAATGCAGCGGTGAAGAGTTTCGGGGATATGACGTCACCCTGTCTTACACCTCTCTGCAATTGGATAGGTTTCGTACTCTGGTTCTGTACTCGGATAGCCATCGTAGCCCTACTGTACAAGCACTTCAACACTTCGATATACCGACAGTCAACTTGGCACCGCTTAAGGGACTGCAGCACCGCCCAAATTTCGACGGAATCAAAGGCTTTCTCATAGTCCACATACGCCAGACATAGTGGCAAATTGTACTCTTCGGACTTCTGTATAATTTGCCGAAGGGTTTGTATGTGGTCTATGGTGCTAAAGCCCTTTCGGAAACCGGCTTGTTCGGGAGGCTGGAAGTCGTCAAGTCTGCGCGCGAGACGATTCGTAATGACTCTCGAAAACAGCACGTAGACGCGGCTCAGAAGGGAAATCGGTCTGTAGTTCTTCAAGAGAGCGTTGTCACCTTTCTTGAAGAACAAGACCACCGCACTTCTGCTCCACGCCTCCGGTGTAATGCCACCATGGAGGACGGAATTAAAGAGCTTCTGAAGGACTTCAAGTACCGGTTTTCCACCCGCTTTCAGAAGCTCCGCTGTAATTCCATCCTCGCCTGGGGCCTTACCGTTTTTAAGGTGCTGGAGAGCCATTCTAATCTCGCTCAGACTGACGTCCGGGATATCTTCGGAATAGTGTCGGATGAGACTCGCTCTTGGATCGTTACTCACACTTGCGTGTGGCTCCAACGATGACGTGTACAGCTGCCCATAGAACCTCTCAATCTCACTCAAAATCTCAGGTATCCCGGAAACTATGCTGCCACATTCCGTCTTCAGCTTTGACAGTTGGCTCTTTCTGGCAGACAGATCTCTGGCATAGACTTTGGAGCCTTGGTTCCGCTCGATCGCTTCTTCAATACGAGCTGTATTGAAGTTGCGTAAGTCCCGCCGCATGCATTTGGAGATCTGTCTGTTCAGATGCCTGTATGCTGTCAAGTCTGTTGAAGAATGTAGCTTCATCTCCCGTCTAACAGCCATGAGATTAAGAGTGTGATCGGAGAGTTTTTGTGTTCTTCTGCGGCGGGTCTTGCAGAACTTAGCTCCGACCGCATGGACAGTTTCCACGAGCTTGTCATTCATATCGTCCACTTCATTGCAGTCTTCTAGGCACTGAAAACGGTTTTGTAACTCGAGCTGAAAGGTTTCGGGACTTTGGATTAGAGCACGAGGGGGACGGAGCGTTGACTTCATTAGACGAGACCTCTCCAACTTAACGTTTAGGTTCAGTGTGCCTCTAACCATTCGGTGATCGCTACCAGTTTTCACCCTCGCGATCACGGAGACATCACTGAACAGTTGTCGTCTGGTCGTCATAATGAAGTCAATCTCATTTTTTGTCGAACCGTCGGGGCTCGACCAGGTCCACTTCCTGTGGGGCCGCTTCTGGAAGAAAGAGTTCATCATAAAGAGTCCCTCTTTCTCCATGAAGTCGGCCAGCTGCTGGCCCCTTGGGTTCCGTTGCCCTATTCCAAATTTCCCTACTTTCAGCTCACCGTTCTCTCTTGTGCCTAGTTTTGCATTGAAGTCTCCCATTAACACCGTATATTGGGTTTTGGAGGAATGCATGGCTCTAGAGATATCCTCATACATTTCCTCCACCTCCCCATCGGGGTGTGCCGAGGTTGGTGCGTAAACCTGTATGACCTTCAGCGAATACCGTTTGGTGATTCTGAGTATAAGGTACGCAACCCTCGTCGACACACTCCCGATCTTTACAACGTTGTTAACGAGAGACTTGTGGACGATAAATCCGACACCTCCTTGGGACAGATGGTCGCCCTCCCGGTGATAGAGCAAGTTGCCGGATTCGAGGATTACCGTGTCCTCCCCCTCTCTTCGGACTTCGGATAGTCCTATAATATGCCAGCGCAACTTGTCTATCTCTTCTTCCAGCTCCACGATCTTCTCGTCAGTCCTCAGGGTGCGTGCGTTGTACGTTGCCAGGTCGAGTCGTCTAAGGTGGCAACCGAACCTCCACCGGAGATTCTTAGCACCCCCTGCCCCGCCGTTACCATGGTCGCCACCGTAGCCAGGAATAGCGGGGCCGCCGGGGACTGGGGGCCGTCTCTTTGTTACATTCATAAGGGGGTATTTGCCATAGTTGCCACGCTTGGCGAGCGGGTTGGCAACCGCAGTTTTTTTATTATAATTTTGGCTATTATCAGGAAGATGCTGCTGCCCATCTCCTGCCTGTTTCCCTTTGTCGCCTTTTACGACACCCACGGGAGGATATGGGGTAGTGGTATTCTTGACCGCCACTACACGGACAATAAAGTACCAAAATGTCGACAAAAACCCAATTTCAGTATGTTCAAAATAAATCACGGATATCAATTTTTATACGAAAACTATCATTTTGTTCGGTACAATTTTTATTAAGCTGCTAGCGAAAGGCTTCCGCAAAAGTTGTTTGTTAGCAGTAAATATTATTTTTAATGGAGCATGCTATGTTCAGAGCTCATTGTATAATTATTGTTATTAAGTATTGCAGTTTTAAAGAAAAACGAATCAAGCATGCTAGTTGCAGGAGGTATCGCTTAATCATGAAGCATTGTATTTTTTTATTATACTCCAGGTTTTCAAATGTAACTGGTTTTTATAATATTTTGCTGTTGTCCATTCCACAAATGTCAATTTTACAAATATTACAAATTAGGTATATTAGTGATGTTAGTGTTAGTTAGTGTTAGTGTTAGTGTACTCTCGACACTAGGGTTTGCTGGGTCGATTGACCTGCGCTGCGACCCACTCGCTAAATAGAAGAAGTGTTAATGATTCGCGTCTTAAGCTTTTCACACAAAAACGTCAAAAAATATAGCTTAGTTAACTTAAAAGCACCACTCCAACTATTCAGTACGTACTCACAGATCCGTTAAATACCGTAATCCTTTATGCTAGATCCCTAAAAACAAAATAAAAATGTAGTTAATTCATAATAGCTGTCTGTGGATATAAAAAATCATAAAACTCACTTAAACACTTAATCAGAGAGGTTGACTAGTAGAACTACTTATTCCCACTAGCAAATCTGACGTATTAAAAAAAAGTCCTCGGAGTTTTGTGACAATTATCTTAAAAGGTTATCAATTACCTACGTTTCCTGTATCAATCCTCCTATATACCTATATACCTACTGAACATTTTGAACAAGGACAGAAAGCGTGATTATAATATAATTCCTCACTATACAGATATACAGCTAGCCTATCGAGTCCCACTGCTGGGAGTCCCTCCCTATACATAGTATACAATATTATACACAATATTTTAAAATTAACGTACTTATTTAGCTGAAATTTATTTATTAAATACATAATTATTTCATCTGTATTATTATTATTTATTCGGAGTAGGTATATTTATAAATATTAATTAGTGACTGACCTGTTTTTGAAATATCATCAGCGATTTTGACTCAGATTCACCACCCGGTTTTTCTTCATCATCCTCTTTAATTAACTTTCTTCGGCAACGTTTCGACATAATCGACAGCAGTTCTTCGTCGCGTGCGCAGCCTGGCATGCGTTGTACAACACTAACCGCGTGAAGCTAGCGTAGAGTGCGGTACGAGGTGCGCGGGGGTACGAGGTTTTCGGAACCTCTTACCGCACTGTGTTAGAATTTTATTTGTTCAGTGCGGCACGAGGTCTAAGAAACCCGGTATTAAAATAAGTATACCATAGAACTAGGAATCAATAGCACATCTCAGATATATAGTTATCTCTTTCCTATACTGAACCAGATGGAAGTTATGCCTCGCGCACTACAGAGAAGTTTAAGTTTTTCCTTACCGCTATAAAGACAAGACACGTACAGGGCGTTTCAAGCCCTGTTTCGCACTTAACGTGTTAAGTAAAATCAATGAGAATTGATATTTGGACAGCAATGAAACACGTTTTTGGGCTATTTTGAAAACTTAAACCCCAACATGTGAAATAAGGATTGAAAGTTTGTATGAGAATCTGGTGTTTTTTGAAGATTGAGTTTTGAACACGAATAGTTAGATTATTTAATACAAATAAAGAAATGGGTAATGTAGATCTTGGGAGAAAAAGTCTAAAATTCAGGCGGTTGAATTTGTGGGCAAAGGAGCTAGTTGTAGATTTATTTATGCATAATTAAGTTAATTTTTCTTTTTAGGGCAGTTTTACTCGCCTCTACAGAATACATTCTGTTTTTTATAATATACTTAATTGTAATCTCGAAGACACTTATTAACTATGTAAGTTATATTTAATTGTTTGTGCTCCACGCAATCTTCGAGGAAGTCATAATTTATAGTCCTTTAACAATTGTGTTACTCTCATTTTAATATTCTCTTCATATGCCTCTTTTTCTAAAAATATATTTATTATGCTTGCACTTTTCTCTACACAAGCTATTAAATTCTTTGAGCGTTATATAAGGTTTGGGCGTATGTAAGAGACTTTTTTACATTTCCATAATTTTTGAACTCTATAAAATTATGTACTCCGTTTCTGCGTTCTGCCGTTTCAAATACTAAATTTTTTGTACAATTATTACGATTGATTTTATTTTTTTAATAATGAAGCCACAGACATAAGCACATGCTTGTAATTCCCTACCTCCTTCCTCCAAGTTTTCTTCCAGAGGAAGTTATACTTTGTTCAATTTCTTTTTCTATTTGGTATGCATGTTCGGATTGCTCTGTATCAGTGCATAGTGGATGGTGTCAGCAATGTTTTAAAATTTGTTATAATGGCACAATTGCCTGAGCTAGTGTGTGCCATGTTACTTATCACAGCAGTTTTTAACCCAGCAACAAATTGTCCATTTATGCAACCGAAACAATTTCCAGTGGGTCCTGCTGGAATCTTCTCGTAGACAGACTTTTAATTGTTTTATATTTGGCACTAAGAATTCTCCAAATCATTTCTATACCATTGAGGGTCCAAATCCTCCCATGTTTTTATGGGAGGATTTCCCCTGCAACCCAAAAATTTAGAGGTTTTAAAAAAATTATTCTATTGAACATTTGCAGATGTTGTGTTGAGTTTTTTATGTTTGTGGATTTTTTTTTTCTCTTCTTAGATCTGGTGTCGACGCGTTTACACCATCAAACAGTTCATCCATATTTTTTATTAAATTAGCCGTTGCCACTGCTTTAGTCGGCATGTCTCCTGAAAATTAACAATAAACAAATGAAATCAATATAAGTAAGCATATTTTCTGGCTAGTTTTTTTTAAACAATCTTGCTCAAACCAGGATTAGGTAATAAAAAGGACAATATAATTACTAGATGGTTATACCCTTTATAAAAGAGACAACTCCACATTACCGTACTGTTGAAACGAATTTGTAAGAAAGGGTGTTGTTGACTTGTTGTTAAATGTTCATAAGTATCAGGCATAATTATGATCTGAGTAAATAAATGAGTTTGACTTTGACTATTAAAGATGTCTTATCTTTAGCTATTTCGGAATATATTCCTGCTGTAACTAAGTGGCTTAAAACTTGTGCTGCAAGTTTTACCCTCATTTTTTGCATAGTATTGGGGTCAAGGTGTTGTTTAGTAAAGCATGGTGTATTCACTAAATTGGGATTATTATTGTCCAATTCATTTTAACAGTGGTAGAGCTAAGCGGTAGCTTTTGCTGTCGCACGGATGGGCCAGCTCGAACCGGGGTGGTACCACGACCTCACTGAATACCAGCGTGAAGTAGAGGTTTACCTCTGCGTTGCGCTTGGTGAGTGCAGGTGGCCGGAGGCCCAATTCCCCCCCCCCCCCCATCAACATGGTAGTGGAATTAAATACAAGACTACCCCAGGAGGGTACCAACACCCCTGGAGAATCCCTCGCTGAGCATCCACGACCAAACTACTTCACTCCTGAGCGTGGGTGCTCAGGCTGCCCCGCGTATTCTGGGGGGGGGGGGGGGCAAAATTCCGCTCGTGACTAATGCTGCTCGGGGCAAGCGGAGCAATACAACCGAAGCGACCCCTCTCACGCTATCCGTGAATTTTTGCAACATCAGGGGACTTCATTCCAACCTTAACGCTGTCCATTACCATCTAGAGACGGCGAAGCCGGCCTTGCTCTTTTTAACCGAGACTCAGGTGTCCTCTCCGGCTGATACTTCATATCTCTCCTACCCGGGATACAAATTGGAACACTTCTTTGTGCTCCGGGCTGGAGTTTGTGTATACGTCAGAGAGGACATCTGTTTTCGACGCCTCGGCAGCCTTGAACGTACGGACCTGTCCATCCTATGGCTGCGCGTAGACAGCGACGATCATCCCCGCGGCTACGGGTGCCTCTATAGGTCCCATAGCGGTAATGCCGACACAGACCGACTCATCGACCACGTCCAAATGGCTGCAGACTCCGTGCTACAACAGGTCCCATCCGCAGAGATCGTGATACTCGGTGATTTCAACGCCCACCACGCTGAATGGCTTGGTTCTCGTTTAACCGATCATGCGGGTAGATCTGTGTACGACTTTGCTTTGGCATATGGTCTAACACAACTGGTTACTTCGCCTACGCGGATCCCAGATGTGGAAGACCATGTACCTTCCCTGTTGGACCTTCTGCTGACCTCTCATCCGGACGGATATCAGGTCTCCGTCGATGCCCCTCTGGGCTGTTCGGACCATTGTCTGATCCGGAGCACGGTGCCACTCACGCTCCAATCGCAGTTGCGATCTGCAGCTTGCCGCCGTGTTTGGCACTATAGGTCAGCTGATTGGGACGGGATGCGGTCTTTTTTTGCATCCTACCCTTGGGGGCGGGTTTGCTTCTCGCCGGAAGATCCCAGCGTTGTTGCCGATTCTGTTGCTGATGTGGTACTTCAGGGTATGGAACTTTTTATTCCATCCTCTGCGGTGCCCATCGGAGGCAGATCCCAGCCATGGTTTGGTCGCTCCTGTAAAATAGCATCACGCTATAAGCAGGAGTGCTACCGGGCCTGGGTTTATGCATCAACGTCTCGGGATTTAAACACCAGCGCACTTAAAAAGAAGTATAATTTCGCCTCCAGGTCCTTCAAAAGTGTCATTGCCAAGGCAAGGTCTGAGCACATCGGCAGAATTGGCGAGAAGCTAGTTCGCCTTCCTTCGGGAACCCGTGCATTCTGGTCTCTCGCCAAGGCTGTCCAAGGGAACTTCTGTCAGCCATCCCTTCCATCTCTGCACAGAGAGGACGACTCACTGGCCCATGCCGCAAAAGAGAAAGCCGATCTGTTGTGCTCTCTTTTTGCGTCTAACTCGACTCTAGATGACGGGGGGAACACACCGCCGACCATCCCGCGATGTGAGTGCTCCATGCCGGATGTGCGATTTACACAGCGCTCGGTTCGCAAAGCACTCTTCTCCCTGGACGTCAGCAAGTCGAGTGGGCCCGATGGAGTCCCTCCCATTGTGCTGAAGACGTGTGCTCCGGAGTTGGCACCGGTTTTAACGCGTCTTTTCCGGTACTCCTACTCCCAAGGCGTAGTCCCGAATTCATGGAAGACAGCTTTGGTCCACCCGATCCCTAAAAAAGGCGACCGCTCAGACCCGTCCAACTACAGGCCTATCGCTATCACCTCCTTGTTCTCCAAAATAATGGAATCCATTATAAACTGCCAGCTCATGAGGTACCTTGAAGATCACCAGCTGATCAGTGATCGTTAGTACGGTTTTCGTCGGGGTCGATCAGCGGGTGATCTTCTAGTTTACTTAACTCATAGATGGGCGGAGGCAGTAGAGTCCAAGGGGGAGGCATTGGCCGTTAGTTTGGACATAGCGAAGGCCTTCGATCGGGTCTAGCACAAGGCGCTTCTTTCGAAGCTTCCTTCCTATGGGCTTCCCGAGAAATTGTGCAAATGGATCACCAGTTTCCTTGCTGATCGGAGCATCAAGGTCGTAGTAGACGGTGCATGCTCTGATTACAAGCCTATCAACGCTGGTGTTCCACAAGGCTGTGTGCTATCACCAACGCTGTTTCTTTTGCATATCAATGATATGTTGCTAACTGGTAACATTCATTGCTATGCGGACGACAGCACTGTTGATGCTCTATACACCGGCCGTGCCAATATTTCTCGGGAAAACGTCGCCGAGTACCGGGACAAACTTGTGTCTGAAGTCGAGTCTTTGCTTAACAAAGTCTCGGATTGGGGCCGACTAAATCTAGTCCAGTTCAATCCCCAGAAGACACAAGTTTGCGCGTTTACCGCTAAAAAGAACCCCTTTGTCGTATCTCCTCAGTTTCAAGGCACTCCCCTTGCTGCCTCAGCCAGTATCGGAATCCTTGGCGTCGACATATCGAATAGCGTGCAGTTTCGTGGTCACTTGGAAGGGAAGGCCAAATTGGCCTCTAAAAAGCTTGGCGTGCTCAGCAGAGCGAGACAGTATTTCATGCCGGCACATCGCTTGCAACTTTACAAAGCGCAAGTTCGGCCCCACATGGAATACTGTTCTCATCTCTGGGCCGGGGCACCCAGTGCCAGCTCCTTCCACTTGACCACATCCAGCGCAGAGCGATTCGAATCGTCGACGACCGAATTCTTTCCGATCA